CGCATGTGCTCTTGCAGGCGACAAGTACGTACATGTTAGTTTAAACCGTAACGAGATGTTTTGCGCGCGCATGTGCTCTTGCAGGCGACAAGTACGTACATGTTAGTTTAAACCGTAACGAGATGTTTTGCGCGCGCATGTGCTCTTGCAGGCGACAAGTACGTACATGTTAGTTTAAACCGTAACGAGATGTTTTGCGCGCGCATGTGCTCTTGCAGGCGACAAGTATGTTGACAAGTCGCTTGACGTTTTGCAGGCGACAAGTACGTGCTGAGGATCCGCTTTGTCGACCACATCTACGACGACCAGCAGATTGACCAGGCTTACCTCCGCGTCATCCTGCCAGAGGGCGCCGAGTGAGTACATCGTCGGTGTCAACATGGCCGCCCGGCGTGCGAGCCGGTCGTTGATTGGACGTTCTAAAGGGCTGTGCTTTACGAGGAAAATGAGAGTTGACGTTTTGGCATGCGCGCGCGAAAATTGCATCGACTGAGCCATCTTGACCGATCTAGCTAACATGTTGCCTAGGGCACCGGGGGGTTGTCTTGCTACAGATAGGAAGAATAGGAATCGTATTAATTGAATCCACTTGGAAGTAATTTTCTGTTAGGTTTTAATTGGGCTAAACTCGGAAGGGTTGGATCCGTGTGTGATGCGAGGTTGGTACGGTGGCTAGTCGGGGTCGCTGTCTGCGATGAGGATATAATTTGCGCCTGACAGGTGCGGCGTGGCGACGGTAGCCTGCCGTCAACGCATGCCACCTGCACCGAACTGATGACGCTTAATGCTGAGCAGACTCCTACGCTTCCGGGCAATCTATTTTTGCTATTTTGTTAATTTATTTCGTCTGTATATGAGATCAAAGACGGCGCACCGATTCCTGCATGGCTCGAGGAGCCAGCACTACGCTTAATACAAAGACTCCTTATCCCCGACTTACGAACATTCGAGTTACTAACTTTCGATGATACGAACAATTTGCCCAACAAGTCCATTAGTGTATAATGTCAATATTGGTGAATAAAAAGACACAATCGCCCCCCTGATCTTTTTACTTTCGCCAACTTCTGTGTTCACTTATATGTTTACACTATGTACACTTCAAGGTTACTCGATGTTCACACGTATATATACTACACTACTTACGAACGACCGCTCGGAACCGAACATGTTCGTAAGTCGGGGAGTCTCTGTACTCCCTCCCCAGCCTGTCTGCAGTGAGTTCACAGTTTGCAGTGAGGATTGTAACATCTCTGTCTGGTTCGTTACAGGAACATAGAGTTGAAAACACCGTTCGAGGTGTTCCAGGGTAAAATAGAACGGCACTTCACTTACCTGGATTACTATGGAAGGCCTGTTGTGACGGCGCACAAGTCTGATCTCGTGGAGCAACAGATCCAGGACTTTGAGGTAACAAATACAACTTAGGGAAACTGCGTAATTATGGTAGACGTTATCTGTTTTGTTGTTGACCTCGAACTTTTGCGAGTGCCATTAGGGAGAGGGAAAGGGAGAGAGGGAGAAAGAGATAAAGATGGGTAGAGAGTGATATAGATAGTTGGTAGAGAGCAAGAGAGTAAGAAAGAGAGAAAGTGGGAGAATAGTGGATTGCTGTCAGATCTCAGAGCACCATGCTGCGCTTATCCTAATAAACGACAACTTTCGTGGCATGAAGCCGCAGTCTGCGATGAGGAAATAATTTGCGCCTGACAGGTGCGGCGTGGCGACGGTAGCCTGCCGTCAACGCATGCCACCTGCACCGAACTGATGACGCTTAATGCTGAGCAGACGCTTGCGACATTGCTATATCACATCAACGACAATCAATTTAGTTCTCTTCCACCAAAAAATGGGTGAAGAACCCACAATACTCCGAACAGTATTTGCCAGATGGGATGTTCTTCTTTGTAAAGTCGTTCACATACATGTGCCATACGCGTGTGATGTTCCGTTCCCTACCGCAGAATAGGTAGGTTGTTCGTATTCGCGCGTTGTTCTCACGACGTTCACTACTGCAGGTTCACTACACGTTCAAGAAGTGGCGTCTGCTCATGGAGCCACTCATGGTCGTCGTGGCGTTCTACCTGATGTTCGCCGCCGTCATCATCTGGGTGCGACTCGACTTCTCCATCTCCAAGGTGAGCGCGGTCGTTTATCGTTGAGTGGAGGGGGGGCGTCTAAGAGTTGTTTACTGTACGTACGCGTAGAAGTGTCTAACGTGGACGGCTTTCATCAGAATGCGCATTACGTGTTTGATTCCGCGGTTGTGCGGAACGTACCACACCTTGTGGTATAACCCCAACCCTAAACATATTCCTCTACCCCAACCCCAATCCCAACTACAACCATTACCCTAACCATTACCCCAATCCCAACCATAACCCCAACCCTAACCATAACCCCAACCCTCAGGGTTCGTACGGGTCCTTGAAAACCTTGAAAGTGCTTGAATTTTTATTTTTTTATTATCCTGGAATTTTAGGCTTCTCACCCAAAAGTGCTTGAAAAGTCATTGGAAAACGAAATTTGGTTGATCCAAAAAATTTATGAGCAATTTCAAGAACATGGTTACAATTTTGTCAAAGTCTGTTACCAAGATCGCTCACAATAAAATAATAAATAATGTTCAAGTTTGGGGCTGGATCGTAAGCGCAGAGAATATAGCGCTGCATGCACACAGATATACTGATTATAGACTGACAGCACGGTATACAGTGTATCTGTAGGTCCTTGAAATTTGGCTGTTGGGTCCTTGAAAGTCCTTGAAAAGTCCTTGAATTTCAGGTTTGGTATAGTGTACAAACCTTGAACCCTAACCCTCACCCCAACCCTAACCCTCACCCCAACCCTAACCTTACCTCAATCCCAATGCCCCAACTCCATCTCCAACCCTCAGCAGAACCGTAACCAGCGTTTCTCATTGCTGTGTACAGGATGCGGCGAGCGAGAGTCGAATGCGTGTGTCCAGCATGCTGGAGCAGCTACAGAGCGTACACGACCAACGCGTGGCTGTCTACCAGGCCTACGACGACACGATCAACAAGTTCAAGTCCAGCAAGGACACGGCTGCGTTTGCCGCTAACAGGTACGTGTGTGGGAGGGGTGGGGCGTGGGTCGGGTGGGGTTCGCAGCTAACAGGTACAGGTGTGGGAGAGGTGGGGCGTGGGTCGGGTAGTGTTGTCATATTCATGGCACATCCATAATCTAGAAACCCAATAAGCCTGGATAGCCGAACACGTACAGCACAGGCGTTATGGCTCAAAGGTCGTTGGATCGAATCCCATCAGATTTTTTATTATTTAGCTGTTTTCTGTATTTTTCTATCTTTATCCATTTAACTATTTTTTTCCCAATTAGGGCAAATATTTACATGATTTATTTACAACAATTTAATAACAACAAATGATTTTTACAACAATTATTTTTTTTTTTTTTAATAGGGTTAGGGTTAGGGTCACAATGCACCATAAAACAGGCATGCGATTTGTATCAACCAATGGGATTTGGGAGGTATGCAGAATGCAGAAGGTTGCTGAAATGATGTGTACGCAACTGCCTATCTGCATATCTGCGCCTAACAAAGGTGTCACTACGCACGACTTAAATGTTACGTTTATAACCGTAGCAACAGACCTCAGATGAGCCCAGACGCTCTGCGGCTCTTGTTAAGATTCATGCAGTTGCACGTCTGCCAAATTTTCTTTGGACATTAGCTGAAAAAAATACAATAATTCCGCGAGGCCGTGCTCCAGAACGAACTAGTTAGTATGGCAGAATTTTCAGGGAGTCGCACGGACTCCTGCATATGTCAAACTAGACAGAGTGCACTCACGGATAGTGCATACTTCCGCCAGCATGTAACATGTATGTGTTACGAGCTGGCTGGCTGGCTGGCTGGCTGGCTGGCTGGCTGGCTTGCTGGCTGACGCGCTAATATCGATCGCGCGAACACACGAACACTAGACTGGTACTCGGTCCCACCTCTCGGCTTAGTTACTCGATGGGGGAATCAAGGTGGGAGCGAGTACCAGTCTAATGCGAACACACGAGAGCGAAAACATAACCTCCCCTCCAACTCCGTTGGGCGGAGGTAATCAGGGAGTCCGACAGTAAATCGGGGAGTATTTGACTCCGGACTCCCGTTAATTTCGCACCCTGTACTAGTAAGAGTAATACTAACAATGTTATAGTACGTGTTTATGTCTGGTGTATAATTTATCGTACTATTTTTACAGAGCAAAGGAGACGAGGAAGGAGATGTTGAACCCTTGGATGTATCAAGAACAACAGTTTCAGAGGAGAAGTGAGTAACTGGCACTGCATTTGATAATGCATCTGTTGGTTAAAGTGGTCTAGAAGTCCTCCAAATCGCACGTCGTATAATTTATCGGCTTAGCACGTGTCGATTGCAACACAGTGGTCCATCCATCACTTGGTGGTTACTAAAACGATGGAAATATGTGTGCTACAATTTTTTTAATTGACAGGGGTATCATTTTTGGGGGAAAATGCTATCTGGCTTTGATTTGCCCGCAAGTAATTGTTGGGAAAGTTATATCAGTTCGAAAAATGTTATCTAAATTAAAATAAGTCGCACCAAACTGATTTTACCTTTTAAAAGATGGTCTAACGCATATTGTGTGTCAACCTTTATAACCTGTTTTAAACAATGGTCTGTCTCTGTTTGTGTTGTAGGGATAAAATTTTCTTTCGCATAAAGCTGAAGGACTCTCTTGGAGCTGGGAAGTCAACCAGCGTAGATGTTGAAACAGTGTTCACACACTTCCTGCATCCCTATCCCAGCTCAATCACACAGTCCGAGCATCAACTGGTGTTGTTCACGGTACGCCAGAATAACATTGTAGTGTATTATTGACCTATGTTCCTTTGGGAATGGCTGTTGCTGTGTGTAAAATACTAAGGACGATTAAACGGAATAGAAATACATTCCAGAGCAATAGAATGTCGATAATGTATTAAATATAATGTCCATATATTCTAGAATATTAGTGATGTCACGATCATCGATTATACTCGATCATCGGTTGAACAGTGGCTCGAACCAAGCGCCTAGTGATGTCACGATCATCGATTATACTCGATCATCGGTTGAACAGTGGCTCGAACCAAGAACCAATTTATTTTTTATTTTTTAATTTGAACAAGAAAACTTGGAAAAGTGATGAGAATCAGTACATGTATTATACACACGGTAGTAAACATTGCAAAACAAACAGTAAACAGGGCTAAACAAGCACGTACATGCACACGACGTTACGCACACGCAGGCATTCAACACCCCGAGTAACCGATTGTAATCGATCATCGGTTACTTGGGTCCAACCGATGATCGATTACAAAATTACAACCGATTGACAACACTATAGAATATACATAAACTACATTCCAGAGCAATTAAATATCAATAACGTATTAAATATAATGTAACATGTCTAGGGATCGAGTGCGATCGTAGTTTGGGTTCAACTCGAATTCCATCTAGTCGTTCGTTTCTATCGGTTACGCGGTGATTCTCTCTCTCTCTCGCAGGGCAACGCATACTTCTACTCGCCCTACAAGACGGTCACTCAGAAGACGCTTGTCAAGCTGGCGTCCAGCACGATCGAGAGCTACAGCAAGGTGAAGCCGGTCTCTCTCAGTGAATCTGAGATCACTTACGGGCCCTACGAAAACACGGAGCCGTTCAGAGAGGTGCGTAGTGTTTCCGCACCGTTTTGCGGCACTATTCATTTGTATTTCTTAATTGATGTAGTCGGTTGTAAGTCAGTAAGTTGAATTACGGTCTGTAAGTGAATGTACAGTCTGTACAGTTGTATTTCCTAATTGATAGACTGGAGAACAAAGGTTTAATGTTGTAGATGAACAACAAATTTATTCACGCTTGGTGCAGGCTGCCGCGTTCTTTTTCGCACACTCGCTTCCGGGAAATAGTTGGCGCCACCTGTGACGAACGTTAGAGCGTATTCGTTACAATTATCGCACAGGCACGTAACATGCGAACTAATATTACAATGTGTGGTGGAATATATACGCGCAACGAGTGCGACATCCACAATGCGCGGTGTCACGAATTAGGAATTTCGTCTAATCCGCGTCGGCGATTGCCCGAAACCCGAAAATCTTGCTCTCAAAGACGATAGAGGTGCCTAACGATCGACTCTTGTGTGTACGCGCGTGTGTGTGTGTGTGTGTGTGTGTGCGTGTGTGTGTGTGTGCGTGTGTGTGTGTGTGTGTGTGTGTGCGCGTGCGTGCGTGTGCGTGCACTCATGCGTGTGTGCGCGAGTGATGTGCCTAACGACCGACTCGTGTGTTTGTGCCGTACAGGAGGAGCTGAAGGTTCACTACGAGAACGGGACGCCCTTCCTCTCGGTGACGTCGCTGAACCGACTCATCGAGGTGTCGCACTGGGGCAACATCGCCGTCGAGGAGAACGTGGAGATTCGCCACACCGGCGCCATCTTGAAAGGCCCGTTCTCGCGCTACGAGTACCAGAAGGACAAGAGCGGCTTCAACTCCGTGTGGTCGTTCAAGGTACGCGGGGAGATGGGTCGTGGGCAGCGGACGTGTATGTGTGTATGTGTGTATGTGTGTGTGTGAGATATGAAGTGAGAGAGAAAGAAAGAGAGTGTGTGTGAGAGAGAGAGGAAGAGAGAGTGAGTGAGACAGAGAGAGAGAGAGAGAGAGAGACAGAGA